TGTTCTCTGTTACGTGTATGCGTTGGACCTCCGCTGTGCTGCTAGTGCACACGAACAGTGGAATGAAGGGGAACACGGAGACGGCTGCGCAACAGCAGCAGGGAAGCCGGGGACGAGCGAACGTCTGAGCTGACTTAGGACACCAGAGCATTCGTGGAGGAGGAGGGGGGGGAGGAGGGGTTGGTTTTGAGACGTCTCAAAGCACAGTGAAACATCAACTCTCAGAAAAAGGATGATGTCAAAATTGGGACTAAAGGCATGTTGCAGTTACCTTGTTGAGAAAGTCACTGTAGCTGTCCTCGATAGGGTACTTCTCGCTAGCATAGAAGAGCATGTGCTCTGTCACAGGAAGAAAAGTAGGATGTGAAGAATTCAGCAACTTCAGCAAATGTTTAGAAAAAAAGGGCATTCTCCTCCTCCGCGCTAGGGAAGCCCATCTCCCATGCAACATGTTGATAGCAACTGAATTCGAGGTGAGGAAGTTGGCATCATACAGCCATTCCCGTTCAGGTCAAACGCGACAAACTCTGTCCGGTCGCGAGAGGATCGACCGGAGCGATTCATTCAAGGAACGCGCGAATCCCACCCACCTAAGAAGTGAGCGAGGCCAGGCGCGTCGTCAGGATCGCTGAGCGACCCCACTCCCACGTCCATCGCCGCTGCAGCCTGCAGAGCAACGCAGACGGAATTTGCTGCTGAAATTTATCGAGAGAATGCGCCGAGGACGTAAGCTCAAGCATCAGCCTAGGACGGATCTGCAAGCTCGATCTACTCTCCGAGTAATCGGAACGCTCAGCGTGTAACGCACTAGGAATTGCCGTTACATAATCCTAAAGTTGGATTCGCACGGATGAAATATCTGGTTTAAAACGTGTATGGGCCTGACAGGTCTGAACAACAGGCAGGACTGACTATAACGCGTTCATCTCGCGGAAATTCACCGCTCCGACACGCGCTATACGGAGAGACACACCTTATCGGTTTCAGGATCCGAGATAAGCAGCACGGTTAGCCCGTTCGGTAGTTCCAGCGCTTCGTACTGCCGCTGGTCGCACCTAGGAATCAAAATACCGCTGGCATTGCCTGAGCTGTTAGGACTGCTGCTCTCGACGCTACCACTCAACGGCGCTCCGTGCGGCGGCATCTCGCCTCTAGCAGTTGAAAGGCTGGAACTACTGACTGTTTCGCCGCTACTTGCTGTCTGGCTGGAGCAAGTGACGGAAAGCAAGTGAGTGCGACTATTGCCGTCAAGCAGACGAGAATGGGAGATCTGAGCAGATCAGATGCCATGAGAAAAGTAGTGCCCTCGCTCCTCTTCAAATTTCAGAATTGCGTGTGAGCCACAGTGAGGGAGCGCCGCCCATCTGCTGCAATCTCGAGGTTCCCTTCAAATTTCGGGAGTGAGCAAAGCATACGCGATAAGACTACAGAGGGAACACAAACTCAATACCATTTACCATATCCATGATATATCCCTTAGTTACATCCAGAAAAAGATCAACACTGAATAATGATGCTATATTTGAAGACCATGTATTCTGATTTTTAGAACAAGCATAAAACACACATGCATGGTCATGTTTCAAGAATCAACTAGGGAGCGACCTCGAGCAGAGATGGCTCATAGCCCTCAGGAGCCTCGAATCCGAGCAGGTTTATGTAAGTGGCTGTAACATTGGCAAGGCCTGCATTCGGCATGTCCTGCCGGAACCTGATGTTGGCTGGCAGCCCGGGACCACCAATGGCAATAGGAACCTGCAAGGTCGCACAGAGCAACAAATTGTGTACAAACAAAGGATGAGACGAACCAGTAAGCTCCAATTTTCTGGGGAAAGACAGACACAAACGGGGTAGGAGAGGGGATACACATGGCTGGTGCTGATAGGTCAGAAACTAGGATGGAAAATCTCATCGAGATCGACCCAGGCACGTACGGGGGCGAGGGTGTGCGAGGTGAGGGGCTCTGGGGTGCCGTCGGGGCCGAGGATGGGCTTGTGGGTCTTGTTGTTGCGCTGCACCATGTCATCGCAATTCCCGTGATCTGCTGTCAGACAATAGATGCCGCCCACCTGCTCCACCGCCTCCAGCAGCTCCTGATAAGGGGCAATGCGTAGGGGGGAGAATGCAAGGAGCAGAGAGTGGAAATACGAGTGAAAAGTGACGAAGCAAGGTGATGATGAGTGAAAGTGAGGAGTGAATGCATGCCACAGGAGCACGAGCTTCCCTCCCCTTCCCTTCTCAAAACTGTTATCCACAGCCCCACATGCCTACGCACGGCGTGGAAACACGCCCCGTGTGCCCCACAACCCGCCTCACCCCATGCCTCTCGCCTTGAGCCCCACACCCCGTGCCCCACCACACCCGGTGCCCCTAGCGAACCCTCCCAGCCAGCCCTCTGCCCTCGCCTTTCCTCCCTCCATTCCCTCGTGCCTCAAGCCCTAAGCCCATACCAGTGCCCCACCCCATGCCCCCTGCCCCCATGCCCCGCGCCCCTCACCTTGACACTGCCATCCACAGCCTCACAGGCCTCCAGCACGGCGTCAAACACGCCCGTGTGCCCCACCATGTCGCCAGTCCCCACAGCCCATGCCCCATCCACTGCCTCACCTTGACACTGCCATCCACTGCCTCACCTTGACGCTGCCGTCCACCGCCTCGCACGCCTCCAGCACGGCGTCGAACACACCCGTGTGCCCCACCATGTCACCGTTCGCCAGGTTCAGCCGAATGTAGTCGTACTTCCCCGACAGAATCGCATCCTTGCACGCAGCCGCGATCTCGCGCGCCTTCATCTTGGGCTTCTCGTTGAAGGGGCAGTTGTCGCTGGGCACCTCGTAGTAGGTCTCGAGCTCGTCATCCAGCTTGCCCGACCGGTTGCCGTTCCAAAAGAATGTCACGTGCCCAAACTTCTGCGTCTCACTGCGTGGGGCCATGGGTGGGGGGCGAATGGGGCAGGGGGGAAGACAGGAGAGAGGGAGGGGACGAGGGAGGGGATGAAGGAGGGGATGAGGGAGTGGGGAGGTGAAGAGGGAGGGGATGAGGGAGGAGGTAGTGCGAGGAGGAGAGATGGCATGGAGGGAGGGGTCGCACTTCGCAGCAATTTACCAGATTCTCATGCGGAGCATCTGGTTCAAGGGGCACTTGTCGCTGGGTACCTCGAAATATGCCTGAGATTCTGTTTCCAAAAACCTCTCCCCCAAACCCTGAACCGTCCTAAATCCCGCACATACTGACCTGCATGTAAGCTGCGCACACCGTTCTTTCCGAGTACACATTGTTCTGGTGCCTCTCGAATTCCCTGCACCGCATTGCCCACCACCAGTACAAACCTGCATGCGAAAGTGCGCACGCCGTTCTTCACGAGGTACTGCCCGGAGGTGTTTTCGATGACGGGCGGCGCGACGAGGAACTTTGCGGGCAGCTTGAGGTCGCCGTCGTACTGCATCATGCCTGCAAAGTGCACCTTGGGCACGCGGATGCGGTCAAACTGATGGAAGTCTGGGTACTCAAAGGCCTTGGAGATCTGAGGGGGTGGGAACACGGGAAGGTGTTTGAGTGGGGCAAACATGGGAGCGGAGAGTGAGAGTGCGCCAATAGACCACATCAAGCAGGCACCTTGGGCACGCGCACACGGCCGAATTGTTGGAAATCCGGGTACTCTAAGGCCTTGGAGATCTGTGGGGGTGGGAGCGGGGACAGAGGGAGGATGGGGCAGGGGAGGGGTCACACTGTGAATAGACCATTGCAGCACCTAGGCCACGCCCACGTGGTCGAACTGGTGGCAGTCCGGGTACTCGAAGGCCTTAGATATCTGGAATACGAAAAAAGAGGTTGGGGTGGGGCCAAGAGGGAGCGAATACGAAAGTGCGAGTGCGGGGAGACAGCCTTGAATATTCGCACTCTCATTTACAGGAAGCACTGGTTGTTCACGCTCGGGTCGTTCACGCTCGGATCGTCCGCTTTTTTATCACTCAGCGCCTCCATAAGGCGCCTCAGAAATTGCAAACCGTCTCACCTGAATCACGCGGTCAGCGCGGAAGTTCCAGATAACTCACGCATCCCCGTCCACAATCGGCCCCACGGGCTTGCCCTCATCATCCACGACCACCCACGGCGAGTAGTACTGATCGTTCACGCTAGCTTTCATCCACACTCGCTCACCTGAATCACACGATCCGCACGGAAGTTCCAGATAACAACGGCATCGCCGTCCACGATCGGTCCAACGGGCTTCTCCTCGTCATCCACGATCACCCACGGCGGGTAGTACTGGTCGTTCACGCTCGGGTCGTCCTCCTTGATCTTCTTGAGCGCCTCCAGGGCGGACTTGAACTTGAACGGCGCCTCGCCCAGCACGTGCGCGTGCCACCCGCGCTCCACGATCTTCCAGTCCGCCTGCGGAGGGGGAGAGACGGGGAACGGGGAACGAGGAGGGGGAGAAGTTGGGGTAGGGGGAGAGGGATTTCGGTTCGGGGCCTCTCGTGAGTCCCACACGTGCGCGGGGCACCCGCGCTCCGAAATATTAGCCGTCCAAGGAGTGTCAGCAAGGCACACGATACCTTTTAGGCACGACTTTTCAACACCAATTAAAACCACAGAAGGTACTTCCCTGCTAGTCTTGTCTGTACTACTCTGTGCTCGTTGCCATTCAACTAAGTCAAATCTCCCTCTCCCGAACTTTTAAGCCAATATTCTCCCTAACGTTATAATTTCACCTTTCACGTGACCGGTCTTCCACATGTTATGGACTACCACAGATAAACACTGACCACCACTGACCACCACTCACCTCGTAACGGTCCATGGTGACGCGCATGCGCCCGCCACCAGACGCGATCTTGGCGTCGCAGCCCTGCGCGCGCAGCAGCTCGAGATCCTTCTCCAGCTGCGCCACAAACTGCAGCGACGACCCGTCCGGCACATCGCGACCGTCCGTCAGCACGTGCACGCGCACGCGCTTCGCGCCGCGCTCCCACGCGCCGTGGATGGTGCCGATCACCTGGTCGTAGCGCGAGTGAACCCCGCCGTCGCTGCAAGGGTGAGAACACACGGCGATGGAACACAAGGATGAGACAACAACGGAAACCGCCGTATCGAGAAATACTCAGAAATTTGAGGATAAGAACCGGTAAACTTGCAAGATCCATTCCCGATCGCCGAAATCGGCAGACGAACGTTAATCTGGAAAGGTTGCACAGAGATTCTCGCGAAAGCCGATCGCGTGCTGACCTGAGCAGGCCGATCATGTGGAGCGTGCCGCCGTTGTCCCACGCCTCCTTGACGTAGTTAAAGCCGTCGCTCTTGTACATGTCACCCGTCTCGAGCGCCGTGTCCACCAGAGCCGCTCTGCACGGACACATGCAGACGAAAGGCGAGAATTCAGGTGAGTACAGGTAAACTGCGTAACTTTCGAGTCATTTCAAAGGCCGACTTGAGCACGGTGTCGACCAGCGCCGCTTTGCACGGACGCATGCAGGCGAAAGGTGAAGGATTTTCGCTTTCGAAGGAATATTCGATGAAGGCATACGGTTCAAAGAGCGGCGAAAAAGTACGACGAGCAAAGAAAGATTCAAAGAGCGACGCAAGATTTCATAAGCGACGAGAGATTCAACAAAGGATCAACTGATAACCAACAAGACGGTCAGGATTCAAGAGTGTAACACAAGATCACCCGTTAAAATCAACGGATCTGGCGATTCGAACGGCAACAAGGCACCAAGCACCGACTCCCTGTCCCAGCACTCACGCACCCTTGGTTGATGACCTTCCCCGCGCCCATGGCGTTGTGCCCCACTTCCGAGTTCCCCATGTCGCCGTCGCTCGGCAGCCCCACGGCCTTGCCGTGCGCCTTGATCGTGCGCCAGCGGTTAGGGCGGTTCTCGCGCAGCGCCTTGATGTGCGGGCAGTTGCCCTTGTAGATCGCGTTATAGTCGTCCTCGACATTCTCTCCCCACCCGTCGAGGATCATAAGCACGAGCGGCTTCCCGCGGGGAATCACGGGATGCGGCTTCAGCTCCCATTTGTCCTCGTTCACCATGGTTCTCGCGATTAAATCTCGCGGAGGCGGAGGAGTGAGGGCGGGAGACGGAGACACGGATCGGTCGCTCGCTCCTACGCGACTGGAGAGCCGAGGAGAGGTGAGGAGTGGGAGAGCAGCGAGAGCTGAAGTCTTGATCTGAGACTGAGCGAGACAGAGGCGTCGAGCTTTATGACGCAGCAGAGCAAGCATTGGGTCTGCCACGCGCAAAAGAATATTCCCAAGGTTGCGTTGCCTCCTCTTCCCCGTAGCGTTTGCGCACGCGGAAATGGATTCTTCCGCGAGTTTGAATCTGACAGGCGAAATGAGGCAAGCGGAGGACGGATTTCATCAGGCTCGGGGAATGGGGGGAAGTGGAGGTGAATGATGGGTTTCGCGGAGTCTGACAGCGGATGCGAAGTTTCTCTGACGAAGCGATACCTGCTCGGCGATATTCGTACAAGAGCAACCAATGGCTGGGAGAAGCTGACCAGCTTGGACAATTTCGCGATTTCTGGAGATATGCCTTCGCGACACAGACAGTCAAGTGACTGAACCTTTTTCAGCATACTTCGAATGCAATACAATTATTCATAACATCATACACTCGATAGATCTAAAGTTTAGAAAAGGTACTGCCATGATCAAGAAGAGGCTACTTCCGCTTTACCAATCTCATGGTCTCTGAATCATTTCCGTGGCGCGTCTTTTATGCCATGAAGGCCTTCTGGCTTATGACCTTCATAGGCTGAATAGCGTTAGCGTACTTCCATCATAAACTTGTTAGTAGTCGTCAGGCACTAACTTGTCCATTCGTTTGCTTCGAACACGGCGATATTGCGTGTCAAACGCTGCGCATTCGCAAAAATGCTGATTCAACCAACGCATTGACAACGTTCAACACCATGATCAAAGTCAGGAATGCATTAATGAAGTCAAGGACGACGGTCAGCGTCAGGAATGCATTAATCAAGTCAAGGACGACTCTTTGAACGCTCTCTATGCTGGGTGGAGCGTCATAAGAAAGGAAGCCGATACTCCAAAGCGAGCCGGCTCAGTCCGTCAATCAGAGATCAGCGATCGACGCTCGGCGATCAGCATCAAGCGATCAGCGGCGATCTGCAATTAGCATTAAGCGATCAGCGGCGATCTTCAATTCGCATTAAGCGATCAGAGATCAGCGGCGATCCGAGATCAGCGGCGATCCGCGATCAGCATCAGGAGCATCAGTTAGCGAGCGAGGCCCGATGTGCATCGGATTCTTCACCGGCTGCTGCTTTCGCCGGTACCCCCTTGGGTCACTGCCTCTGCTCCTGCAGCTCCTTCGGCCCGTCGCGCGTCGCGGCGAAGTTCCTATATGGAGGGATGTTCCTGGCCTCCGTTGTTGTAGCGTGGGTTCTTAGTTACTACGTCACCAATGCACTATACAATCTCTACAGTGAGTGCAATCCGTACACTACATTCGGAGCTAATCATATTTATTCATTCATTGGAATGCTGTGGTGGTAGCAACGTTCCGTTTCCTAGCAGTGCGAAGAAACGTCACATTCCGTTCGTCACACACATGCCTGTACCGCCATTGAGGTGAGCCGTGCATCCCAAGGCGATCCGTGCATCCCAAGGCGATCCGTGCATCCCAAGGTCAGCCGTGCATCCCAAGGTGAGCCGTGCATCCCAAGGTGAGCCGTGCATCCCAAAGTGAGCCGTGCATCCCAAGGTGAGCCGTGCTTCCCAAGGTGAGCCGTGCTTCCCAAGGTGAGCCGTGCATCCCAAGGTGAGCCGTGCTTCCCAAGGTGAGCATTTCTAATTAGTCTGTGGCTCACATTCTCATCGTGTTTTTTCACGGTTGTCGCCATCTCTGTCCAACTCAGGGTGTTCTTGCCTGTTGCTACATAGCCGGATGCTGCATACCTAGGTCAATCACGTGATGCAAAATAGTTGTAAGCATTTTGACTGTAAGTCACCTGGTAACCTCCTATCCCACTTGCGTGCATCTGCATCTGTATGTGTGTGTGCAGGTGGATGCAGGGCCGCTCACCACAGGTGTCATGGCGGTGTATTTCGTCTTCCTCTGCTGGTCGACAATCATGAGTGAGGCGCCCGCTGAGGCGTGCAACACTCGCCCTCGCCAGACCGGATACGGCGGGTGACTTGATATTCTCGTGAGGACATTTCAAGTTGCTATTATTCCACTTCGCACACTTATTACTCATACTTGAATCTGAATGACATGCATACATCCAGCAGTCCAGGATCATTTTTTGTAACTGACAAACTGCTACTTATGCTTCATTCTTCTTTTCTATTCTGCCTGTGCGCCTGTGCCACTCAGACATTCATGTAGGCGAGCATGAACATGTTGTACTTATTCTCATTCAGTTCTTCCTCCCCCCCGTCTTCACAACACACAGGCATTTAGTGGCACTCATAAGCATCGCCATATCAGTCTAGACCACAGGAATTGACTCCCGTTGCTTCTCGCTCCGGCCTTAAGACGAAGAATCCGCCGGTAACGTAGAGGTTCCCTACGGTTACGGCTTCTTCCATCTCGTGTTCCTTACCGGTTCAATGTACATGCCTATGATATTACTGGGGTGGAATATGAATCAAACCCCGGTTGAATGGAGCATCGATGGTGGTTGGATTAGCACCTGGATCAAGATGGCTTTGCTGTGGTTCTCTGCTTTGGTTTATGTGTGGACGCTCATTGCTCCCTTTGTGTTAAGGGGTAGAGAGTTCAGATGATTGCTTGCCACCCACCCTTCCATGCAAGTCATTCTAAGACAAGGAGCAGAATAGTGATTCAATCAGACTGAGAACATGTGAGCAAAGTTGAGAGGTACACATCAGGGCCCAAAATAGGTTTTAGCTCACTCTTTCAAATCAGGGTGGCAGGCCCCCCGTACCCTGACTAGTAGGGTAATTTTTCTCGTACACTGATTGTAGCAGCCTAAAAGTTATGGTACACTGATTTCAGCAGGGTAATATTTCCCATACATTGTTTCCTTCCTACGCACAAATCTTTACCACACCAACAGTTACTACTATTCACTAAAGTGTTCTGCACACAAGCTATACTATCTAGATAAATAAACCATCCTAAAGCCACTAGTCAACGTCTGCTGCACTAGCAACTGCCTCGACTGCAAATTGTGCAGTGCTGGCCTTCATGCCGGAGAAGTCCTTGGTGGATCGCCTGAGCTTCTCACCGCGGAATATGGCGACCACCTCGTACCAGTCTATGTCGTACTGCAGGAGGGAGCACCGAATCAGGTGCTCAAGGCTTGTATCGCCGAGGCTGCCGCGGTCCCACGTCTTGATCAGGTTCTGCTTGCTGAAGCCGCGCTCACATTCAACCGTGCTCAGAGGTTAGCAAGGCCGCATCGGCACGGTCCACGGTAATCAGAGTTAAGAACCCTGTCACCGGTGCGGTCCCTTTGAAGAATGTCGCATACAGAATCAGGTGCTTGCCATTCACCCGATCGGTGCTCTCGTCGAGACATATCCCTATCCATGGGGATTCCAGCAGGTGGCCGCGTTGAGTCTCTTGAAGGTACATAGAGGTGGCGCGCAACATCTCTTTGAATCCGTAACTGCGAGGACAAAACGCATGGCACATGAACACACATTGCATTAGCATCTCGTCAGCTTGAGTCATGGAACAAACACAAGCGCCAGAAACCGCACTTACTCGGTGTAGTAGGCGTCGTACCCTCCAGACGAAGGAAGGTCCGGCAATCCTTCCTTAGCCAAAAACCAACACAATGGAACAAACATGGCTATTGGCGCGTGAGCCTTGCAGATGAAGAGCGCGATGTGGAGGCAGCGGATGATGTGCCGTGTAGCTGCGTTGGTGCTCTGCCACCTTGTTAGTGTGGCTTGCTTCGCCTTTTCCGCGTCTTCTTTGGCCTTGTTTTCCAAGGCCTGCTTGTGGGATCTGCTGGATGTGTGCGCGCGGATGCTCCCTAGCTGCATGTCTCGCGCACCCTCACCTCTGACGCCGTAGGCAGTGTGCGCATTTGGATCTCCGTGCTTGATGCAGATGGCACATTTCAATGACGGCGTGCCGTTAGTCATGCGCATTAAGCGAAGCCAGCTGAATTTACCAGACCATTGGGAATCGAAAGTTGCTTTTACCGATTCGTACTCAGCTTCTGCTGAAGCGGTTGGAGGCTTCGGCTCGGCAGGAGCAGCACGGCGTGGTGGTGATGCCGCTTGTCTTGGAGGAGGGGCGCCCCAGAGCCTCTGCTGCTTGTATGACACGCCCACACGCTGTCGCTTCACGGACGCTGAGCTTTTTGTGGATGGGGCTGCAGTGGCTGGCTTCGACGGGCCTTCGCCGCCATCGGGAACAAGCTTAACAGACGGTTATGGCTCCCGGGACTTTGGCGAGGCTGAGCGCTCGCACGGGAAAACAGTGCCGGCAAGACATTCAGGGGATGGCTCACGCGCAAGCTGAGAGATAGGAACGCTATAGTTCTCAGCCAGCCGAGGTAACACACTGAGAACAGAGAGACCGTTCCTGGTGCTACCAGGCGGATCTGGCTCTGAGGTAGGCATTCGGAACAACAAACGAGAGGGAAGCGAGAGAATGGCGACAGTCTGAGAGACCCCTTGGGAATCACAAAGCCCAAGGGGCCTCAGGCAGCACAGTTCCCGCGCTGGTAGGGAACTGCATGGCATAGGATGCAAGGCCACAATGACTGCCAGGTGGTGGAAACGACAGCACGTACCCCACCTGGCGCGCAGTTTGGCAACGTTGGCAGTGACCGGTGCTTCAGGAACGCACGGAAACAGGGTGCGTTGGCTTTGATGTTGCTCAACGGACCAATCGTAGCTGTGCGCGGGCATCCCTGCTGGATTTGCGTTGGCGCGCCAGTGGGTGTATCGAACAAATGGTCCAATGGGACCGTGGTGCATTTTATCGTGGCGCGTACTGTGGCGGAAGCCGCGGTACAACAGAGTTCCGGTAAAAGGGTAGTTGAACAACTACCCTGATACAGTCAGAGTAACAAAAAAAT